ACATAAGCTTCAATTATTCTTGTCATTTCGTTGGACCATTGTTGACCAGGCGTTTGCTGTTTACAGAGAAGCAGCACAAACGAGATGTTTAATGGAACTAGGGATGCGCCGAAGCGATACTGGTATCGGTATTGGTGCCGATACCGCCATCAATACCAGTATCGTATCGGTAAAAGTTAACCGATACCAGGAACCCATACCAATGCAGCTGCTTGAAAATGGCTTCACTGTAACTTGTCATTTCTGTTCACCTAATATTTTAGTTTTGTGATCATTTCCATTCATGTATTTTACTTTCTATCTACCTCACAGTCTTTTCCTGTTGAAAGCAGAGAAGAAAATAAAATCTGTATTCCAAATCATTGCATTTTTTTGTGTGGTAGAAGTATTGGTATTGGTAATCAGTATTGGCGAGTACTCAGATCCAAGTATCGGTATCGTGTCGGTTTGGAAAAAAGTGGTATCGTTGCATCCCTAAATAGAACCAGACCAAGATATCTGTATTATTTTATCATTGATGTTCCGGTGAACAGTCTGGAAACACACATGTTGGTGTTGTTCTTCTCCTAAACGACCGAGTCTGGTTTGTTCTCCTAATGAAACCGTTTTCTTCTGATGTATACCACTTCAGAAACTGAATCTCAAGGTGGCACTCGTATATTTTTGGTGCCTCTCGGGTAAAACTCGGGTAATTGTATTGGTCTAAATTAGCTGTTTAACAGATATTTTTCTGTTCTGTTATTTTTTTTTTCTGGGTGTTGTTGAAATCTTTCCCACTTTGGGTGATGCAGAGGAGTCTGTGTGTAGAAGCCATTGAATGTGATAATGGACGCCAGCATGGCCGGTGTGATTTGGCGTCTCGTGGGGGGAGTTTGTCTTTGATTAGAGCGCGGTGGAGAACGGCTGACTGCACAGGAACCTTAATTTCCTCCCTGAATCACTGCACTGTGACTTCTCACAGAAAGGCTGACATGACCGACTGACTCCAATCTCTGGAGTGCGAGTGCAGTCAATTATGGTTTGGTATTTAGGTGTGTTGAGACTGAAATTTGTTTCCCAAATAAGATCTTAATGAGAGTGTTTGTTCACTGGTGGTCGGGTCAGATTTGTGCACAAAGACTATCAATGCAAGCTGTGCTCATTCCCATGGCAGGGCATCGAATTCTGCTGTTTTGTCAAAGCTCAGCGTCTTGGTGCTAACGAGTTCCCATTGGCATCACGGTGTCCTTTTACAACAGCTGTGTTGGTGTTTATGAATAAGCTTCAAGGCTGAGACCATTTTTGCAGCCAGTTCTACTCAGCTGGTGTTTTCTGACCTAATCCACCTTTAATTTACTCACCTTTTTACTGGTTTGGTTAGGGTTGGGTTTAAACCTCAAACTACTCGAGTAGGTTTGGAAAAGTTGCACTTCACTGGTCACGTACCATGCTAAAAACTTAACGCTGCATTTCTATAGCAACTCCTGGCAGAAAGGGAGATTCAGGTTTTGACTCTTGGTAAAAGCTGGTAAAAAAATTCAGCTACTAGTTAGCTAGTTGAATGAGTGCATAGCATGCTGGCGCCATTCCTAAAGGTGAGAAATGTGTGCTTGTTCCTAATGATCGGCCACTCTGAGTTTCACAACCAGGTTGGATGTGAAAATGTTCTTTAATCCCCATTTCCTGTATTAGCCTCTGAAAGAAGCCGCTCAAATCTACGTCACATTGTAAAATTTACATTTATGGAGTCAGCCATCTTTGCTCATGACCGGGTAAGGCTGCTAGCAGAGAGTCCATCTCTGCTAGCAGAAGCTAATTGTTAGCATTAGCAACCCCACCACACAGCAGAACTCCTTTAGGCTGGTGTTAATCAATGTTGAATTTTTTTACTCTAGAAAAAAGGACGAATGCAGCGTCCCTGGTATCCTGGCAGGCCATGTGAGTTTATAGTCTGGCCACGACCCATAAACCGACTCAGCCAAGGGGCGGGATCTACAGTCGTCTTTCAAACGGTCTCCACGTGCTATTGGACAACAAACAGCGTGAAGTACTCACCGCTACAGGTGTCAGTCAATGGAGCAGTCCGTCATACGCTGTACAAGAAGACTCAAATACATCTTTTATATTTTTACTTTTTTATAAAGGACCTCCGTACCTCTATCTGCTCTGGGCCCAACTAAATAATCCAAAGTTGATGCCAAAGCCATCTCAAATGAGCTGTCGCCATCAGTTGTTTTGCTCAATCGCATGATCCCGCCCACCAAACCGATAAAGCGCTGTGATTGGCCCACTAAACTACCGAGGCTCCTGTGGAGCCGGGCTAGACCGAAGAGCAGAATCGTGGTGTGGTCTGTCCAGATATTTGCTCTATGTTCCAGGAGGATCTGGCAGGACTTGTCATTTCTAACCCAGGAAATAGTTGTTCCCTAACCCTAACCATGATTTATTTCTAACCCTACCAATGCAGAGGACACTGTATTAGCTAAGAAACAAATTCTTGAGTCTAGATGATAAAATGTGTAATTTTTTCTCATCATGCAGCCCTAAATTAAAAGCTCTAATCCAGAATTAAAGCCCTTCTGATATTGTTTCATAATCTACCTAGAGCTTCTGAAGTGAACATGAGCTGGGCACAAACTGGGATGGACTTCCTCATGAAAGAGTTGCTAGATATTTAAAATCCAGGAGGCGTGAAGAATTCTGCATTGACGAATCGCTAGAATAATAAAACCTAGCGCTGACTGATGGTGTCCACGCCACGGTGGACTCTGAAGATGGATTTCTGCTAAAACAGGTTTTCAAATAGTTCTAAAGCAGTTTTTCTAAGCAAGAGTTGACTCTGCTTAGCCTGATTACCTTGGACGCTTCTTCATTCGCAGCTTTCTTTTTTCTAATTTAGCTAATGCTGTTTTGAAAGGACCCCCAGCGTCACCACAGTCTAATGCACACGGCTGGTAAAAGTTTCCGGATGTGACGAGGCCTGCTGTGCTCTGTTCTGATTGGATGCTGACTGAGCAGAGGAGGGGTTTTATTTTAGTAGGCAGTTATACAGTTGATCCCTCGTTTATTGCGGTAGATGCGTTCCAGACCTGGCCGCGATAGGTGAAAATCCGCGATGTAGGGACACCATATTTAAAGTATTTATTTAACAGGTACGTATTCAGTATTCAGACTTTTAAAACCCTCCCTTTACATAGTACTGTATTTTTACTTGGTTTTTTTATAGTTTTATTACAAATAGTGCATTTTATGATGAAATGATGGAAAAAAACTGGAATGTCTTGATATTTCGCATAGAAAAATACCGCGAATCAGCGAATTTCCCTTGAATAAGGCTCCAAAGAAAAAATCCGCGAAGTCGTGAATCCGCGATAAACGAACCGTGAAGTAGCGAGGGATCACTGTAATCATAAATAATTAAGAAGTTGCAGAGAGGTCATCAGAGTTGATGCTCGGGCTTCTTTGATGTCTATTTTGAAAATTTAATGGGACTTTACGGACTTTTGAATTTTTATGCTCGCGATTGCCCCCTCAGGCCAAAAGTGTAATGGCAGCTTCAATAGTAGGCTCGTGTGCGAGGCGCGCATGCTGTACGTGCACACTCCTTAACGAAAATAACAGCTGAGACAGTCCCGTGTGTGGGTGTGGGTGTGTGGGGTGTGGGGTGGGGGGGTGGGGGTGGGTGTTGCCCGGAGGACAGAGGACAGGAGAACGTGCAGCTAATTAATTAAATAATTTGGTTCTGTAGCTTTCTCTTCAGCACAGCCGACAAAGGTTTATGATGGGTCAGTCCTCCTGCATGCTCAGATCATTCCCTTCCCTTGCTTGAAAAATTGTTCCAAAATGAAAGTTGAACCCACATCTTTTTTATCTGTGAATTCAATGCCGTTCAGCGAGTCTCAAATAAAAATTTGGGCGTCTTACTGTAAAAAAATATACCATTAATGTAAAAAAGAAACTCTAAATAAACTATGTTCACATCCAGAATCAAACCCAGGTCTTCCGCACGAGAGTTCAACGTCTTACTTGGTGAGCTAAAGCTCCAGTGATGTCTTTTGTATCTGTAACATTTATATCCTTGATGACAGCTGAAACAACGTCAAACCAAAGAACGGTTCGGAGTGAAAATGGCTATTTTGTTGCTAATTTGCAGGAAATATCTAGAAGAAAGTTCTACAGAAAGTAGCTAAGGGTCCTCAGAAATGTAGCTAGCTTTGTCACTAGGCGTTAGGAACAGCGACAAAGTGGCACTGCCTCTCTCTCTGCTGCTAAAGCTACGGATAGCAAATGCCACGGGCGATGCCTGAGCGTGAACGCGCATGAAGCAGCCTGCTCGACCCGAGCATCTCTCTTTTTCTGTGATTTTACAGAAAAACAGGCAATCACAGTAAAAATGCCAGGGCTCATTCTACAGGACCAGGGCATTGCAGGAGAATGTATGAAGAAGACATTTATTATTTCTATACATGTTTTAGCTGTCACACTTCCATAATGTCCCTTTAAACACTCACTTGTCTCTAAACCTTCTAAATAGTTATTTTAAGGTTCCTCAGAACCACGTTTAACCGTCTCCATGAAATGCAGATCTACGACGCTCCTTTTTGTTCATGTGAGCCGCTCTTGTTCTCTTGTTAGGGGTGTGAGTGATGCTGACAGCAGACGACCGCATCGATTCTTGGCCTGTTTCCCACAAAGCTGTTGCGTTGAATTGGAGGAGGTTGCTAACGTATCAGCCTTGCCTCGTGGTAATCCTTAATAAAAACTGAAAGAATACACAGAAGCCTTTCTGCCGACTGAAGCGCGTCTCCACAGGCGGCGACTTAACTCGACGCCAAAAGGTTTTTTAAGGCTCAACAAGCAGAAACTCATGGAGAAGTCGTCCATCCAAATTTCAATGAAAGCAAAGTGAATCATTGCAGCACAACGGTTACAGTAAAGCCCTGTGGTTAAATGAATCACTATGTTGCTCTGAAGACACTTTTTCTTATTTTTAAATGTTGAAAAATTTCCTTTTTTTCCAGGTTTATGAAAGGGGAACCAACGTGGAGCAGTTTGTGACGCGTTTTCTTCTGAAGGAATCTGCCAATCAGATCCAGTCCCTGCTGAGCTCCGTGGAAAGTGCTGTGGACGCGATCGACGAGCAACACGGCCAGTCGGGGTGAGCCGGCGAGGCTATCGCTAGCTGCCACGTGTGAGATGGGGAAGTGTGTGTGTGCGTGTGCGTGTGTGTGTGTGTGTGTGTGTTTGCATCACTTTCGTAGCATAATGTGTAAAACTCTGATTGTCAGCGGCTGTAATGGAAACCAGGCTGTGTCTCAGGCTCACTTCCTCTCTGGTTAAAACATCTGTCACTCTCGTGCGTGCACACAGTTCATCACATTTTCTCTCACACGCCCCTCTTCTGCTCCATTCGGATCGAAATCTTGTTTCTGTCTTTAAACTCCTGTTTCTGGCTTTCTTTCTCCGTGTTTTAGTCACCAACCTGCTAAAGTCAGTCCACGCACGTCGGAGAAGCGCCACCAGAACACCGTTCCTGATTATCCCCCCAACAACAGAGTGAGCGCAAGGGAGGCCGTCAGGACCGTCAACACGGCTTCAGGTGATGCCCGCCAACACACTCGTGTTCCGCCTGGATGCCCGCTGTCATCTGCTCGTGAGAGTTTTCATCAGTCGAGACGAGCACAAATCAAACTCTTGACTGCAGCTCAGCAGTTTTTATTCACCGCTCTCATCCATACATCATTTACTCGCTCGTTTTACAATCAGCCGCCTGCACACCCTCGCAGGAGGTTGGCTTTGGTGGAAAAGGCTGTGTAGGGAAATCTTTCAGGAGGTGAGAGGGTGAAGAGGGGGCGATTGAAAAGGGGAGAAGAGTGGAAAACCTGGGGGGTTAAAGGAAGTTGTTGGCCCTTTCTCTGTCAGCAGTTGGCTGCAAAAACCAGCAAGTCACTGAGAGATTATCAGCCCTACTGGGCCTTCACTTAATCTCACAGGTTTGTATGTTTGTCTTTGAGCATTTTAATATTTTAACTCAAACGCAGAAAAAAAACATCAAAATAGCAAATTAAATAAATAAAATCTTTATAAAAGATTATTAATCAAAGCAGAAGATTTCAAATATACCATATTTATTGATAAACTGCAGGTAACCATGGAGACGGGATGATGGAGAGCAATAGAAATTAGTTTGCATTAGTTGAGTTTACTGCGCAAGAACTTCTGTCTAAAGTCGTGGAGAAGCTGGAGGTAGATGGTGGTTTTTTCTGGACCCTGTGAGATCCCGCGGGCCGAACCAGAACTGGCATCACAGATCGTGCTTCCCGTGTGGTTTGGCAGCAGAACGAGGTGAAGACATTTTTGTTTCTGCTTTGTTACCGGAGCTTTGAAACAAGTGAAGCTGCTTTGGAAATGACTGTTTTTCAGGTGTTGGTAGAAATTCGTGTTGCAGCATCCGTCAGCTTTTAGAATGGAGATGAGGTTTGCTCATCTTTGGACACAGAACATTCCAGAATCATCTGTTGGGTCCAAACAAACACAACCAAAGAGGTCTCACTTGTCACGCAAAGGTTTTAATCTCCAAGCTTTAAAAATAAAGAAACTAACGGTAATTATGGTCCATTATAAGGATTATAAAAGAGAAAAGGCAACAAGTGAAAAACCAAGGCTCTTGATTATCACTATAATGCCTTAATTATCACACTTAATTAGCTCATTTCTACATTCATAAAGCCTTCGTTCATCAGGATTAGCACTTGCAGAGGCTGAGTGCCAATTTTAATTTAATAAAATATCGTAGAAAAATCTAATTGTCGTATTAAAAGTAGTCCAAAATATGGAACCACAGCTGAAACATTAAAATTATTGGAGCATTTACCTATAATTAGAATAATGGCTCATAGAGTAAAAAAGGTTTTAAGCTTTAAGGTTCCTGTTTCTATTCTGGTAAACCTTTCTGTGGTCTCTTCCTCGTCCTTCACCAGATTTCTATTGACATCTCTTGCTCACCTTGACACTTTGCACCCCATCGAGCAAATTGCTGCCTGGGGAAATGACACTTGAAAGGTTGTTGAGATGTGACAACACTTTACTGTTAAGCGCGCCTGGCGGGGAACACCCAGCCGTTCAGGTGGGAGCAACGCCTGAAAGGGCCGAGCCAACGGTTCTCAGTCTTCTACTAAACGTTACTGACAAGTGTTGGTTGAAGGTGAAGGATGTTGTTGTTTCAGGGTCAGAGAAGTGAAGGATGAACGTTGTGGTAAAGACAGGCTGTGATGGATGAGTTCTACGGATCTGAAGCCCGGTGTTGGTACCAGATCTGCTCGGGGCTCAGCGCTTGTCAGTGATGTCACACTACACGATTTGCTCGTTCAGGTGGAAGGTTTTGGTTGCAGGACGGTGGGCTTGGTTAGCCAGATCAGGCCAGGGTTGTCCCAGGGATGAGTTTACATCTGATGCTTGGTCCAATAAACAAGCCCGGACTGCGCCGTAAAGAAAGGCACCTGCTATAAACTCTAATTCATTTACTCAGGGAAAAAAGGACTTTTGGGTGATTCTTATGAAATGGGGTGTGGTTTGAAATAACTTTATTGAACAAATAGCAAGTTTACAACATAAGAACAAAGTAATTCAACACTTGTGTAAAAAGCCAGTGATGTTGAGCATGTAAATACACGAAAACGTTGTTTTTATAGCCTTTTTGTTAGCTTGTTGATTTTAGTGCAAAAAATGTAACCCAGGAAAAAAAAAAAGAAACAGGGATAAAACAGAAATGAAACGCATCATATAAAATGATATTGTTACCTTATTTTGTTGGTGGAAAGTTGAAAGAAAGAAATCGATCTTTTATATATCGCCTCTCAAGATGAACAAAAGTCCCGTTAGTTGTTACGCACACAGGTGTGTGTGCAAAATTTGTTCTCTGTTTTACACCCATCCCTGTGAGAAGCAGTGAGATGCAGACATGACTGCGCTCGGGAACCATTTGGTGGTTTAACCCCCCACTCGAACCCCTTAACACTGAGAGTCGAGCGGGGAGGCGTTGGCGTAGCTGTCTCAGGGCGGGCACTCTACCGCTAAACCACTGAGCTGGTAAAAGTGAACTTGCAATGCTCTCTGCATGCTTTATGCTCACAGGTATGTTTTTCTGGGCATCAAATGTACGTTTATTTTCAATTGAGTTTATTTATAAAGCGCCAAATCACGACAAGAGTCATCTCAAGGCACTTCACATAATAAACATTCCAATACAGGTCAGTTCATTAAGCCAATCAGAAAAAATGTTTCCTATATAAGGAACCCAGCAAATTGCATCAAGTCACTGACTAGTGTCAGAGTCTTTACAGCAATCCTCATACTAAGCAAGCACATAGCGACAGTGGAGAGGAAAACTCCCTTGTAACAGGAAGAAACCTCCAGAGAACCCTGGCTCAGTTTAAGCAGCCATCCACCATGACTCACTGGGGATCGAGAAGACAGAGCGCACACACACGCACGCGCGCACGCACGCACGCACGCACACACACACACACACATTTATATGTTCGGCAAACATTTTCATACAAAGCAACTAATTACAACATAAAAACATTTTAATGTTAATAATTAAACCTGCAGTAACAACTGAATGAATAAATAGGATTTGACATCTAGAAAAGTTTCTAAAGGGTATTTTGATTATTTTAGTGAGGACAATTTCTCATTCGTTAATCTAAAGGAGGCGGGACCTAAAACCTGTACTGGAACCGACCACTAGGGGGGATGGAGGATTTATTCCTGCCTTTAGCTTCTGTGATCTGTTCCTGGATTTAGATGATTAGTATTAGGCCCAATCTCAACACTCACACTGCGCCCAGCAGACTTCAGCAACGTGCACTTGGAGAAAGTGTGCAGTAGGGTTCGAGTGCGTAGTTAACAAGTGTGCCAAAAAATTGCTGAATTGAGACGGGGAGCATTGCGTCATCGATCGCAACGCATGCCGGGGTTCTGGTCGCTGTGATCAATCAATCGTCCTAAAATTAACTAATTTCATTACAGAATACATATTTTCAGAAAAGGAACTTGAGCCTTTTTTCCTGCTGCAATGACTTGTGGGTAATTCCCTTGCCCGAGGTCCGCCTCACTGCAGACTTGGATGAAGTGCAGATTAAGGGTGCAATAGGGGCGTGGCCAAATTCCGCACTTGAGAATGGGGACACCCTACGCACTCGCACCCCTGGCCGGGAACGCACAAACGAAGGGCGCGAGGGTGCAAGTGCGAGTGTTGAAATTGGACCTTAGTATGTGATAAAATGTCACTCAGACCACCGCCCTCTGTGGCCAGAATACCGCATTTGCAACTTCAGAGTGCTAGTCCAGTCTGTTGGATTTAGAAAAAAGTGTAGCTGACACACCTTCCAGCACGTGATTACAGCTGATTGTTTTATTTAGTGATGAACCGCTCCTGTAGACACTAGTGAAGGCTGGGGAGACGTTTCAGCTGTGAGATTAAGGTGTTAAAAGATGAACGCACAGCAAGGAGAAAAGTTTTGCTTTTGGTTCTACTAAGTGGACACTAGGGGGTGCTAGATGCAAGCCAAAACTGCCTAGTGTGCCTTTAAGTTTGTGTGCAGCACTGAAAATCAAAAAATCAGTTCAGAGCACCGCTATATTTATGTAGAATTAGGAGATTTCTTATCAAGAGTGGTTGTAAATGTTTTTATGGTTTCTGTAAAGTTTGTCTCTTGTGTTAAACTCTGTGTTTGCTCCATGAAGCCTTGTCCTGGAGTCGGTTCCTCGTGTTGCTGGATGTTGAGATGAGTTTCTATTCATGGAAAGGATTTAGATCCTCCATCACGGAGGTTTTCTGTGACGTTCCGGCCAAACTCGCCAGTGTGTTTCTGTTTCCTGTAAGAACAAACTTGACTTTGGCCGGTTGGGAAGTGATGCCTTTTTCTGTCTTTGCAGCTTCTTTCTTTTGTTTCTTTTGCTTTGAAAGCTCCTTTAAAGAAATCTTTCCCTCCGTTTGCAGAAATCAAATCCAAGTGCAAATAGAACTGAAACCAACTCTTTCCTGAAAATGAAGTTAGATTTAAAGGATTTGTAGCTTATAATAAAAGGATGTTATTGAAAGTGACTCCAGCTTCTGGCCGGAGACATTTCTTCTGTTTCACCGGCCTCTAAAGGCTTAAAACTCATTCTGTCTGCAAATTCATATCCTCTGCCAAGCGGAAAGTTTCTGGGATAAATGATGAACTCTTACAGTAAAATGTGTGAATTTGGACGCGTTTAGCGGTTTTCATTGGTTCCTTTTGCAGCGCATTTAGCTCAGAAACACTAAAAAAGCCTAGCTTCAGAACATAAATACATTTTGGATACGTTGGAATTTATACTGATGGAAGTAAATGTTTTGAGTTGGACTTAGCGACCAGTTGTTATAGATTTACGTGAAAACATGTAGATCAAAAATTTTTATCTTGATTTGTGTGAATGCAAGTATGGTAAATGGTCATTGATTTGATATAGCGCCCTCTAGAGCCCTAGAGCCCCCCCCAAGGCGCTTTATGACACACTTTCAGATGCTGGTGGTGATGAGCTGCAATGTCCAGGGACGCTGACAGAGGC